TTAATTGTCCTTACTCTGTATGTAAAATAGCCTGTTCTGCAGCTATATCTGTGATTAGGCATTTAGTTATATTTTTTTTTTTTAATAATACTACTATAGTATTGTGGTTTTATGGAACCTTTTTGGCTGAAAGGGTAAGCATTAAAATAAAATAAAACTTAAAAATAGAAGTTACCAGAATAGTCAAACTGTGGTGCAGTCAAAACATTTTGCCTGTTTTTCAGGTGTACAGTCTTCACATCCATGGTCAAGAATTTTAGTTACATGACAACACACGGGCAGTCTGTCACCCTCACAGGGTGCCCATCAGTCTATGGGGCCTCAGCAGTTTGCCTTTGTTATGTACAGCAGTATCAAGCCTCTGTGGTGTGACATACCTGTATAGAAATAACTGAGCTTTATCAGATTCATTACTAATGTCTTCATGATCAGTAGGAGTTGTACATCTGTTCTGCTAGTTCTGAGCTACCTGGATGTGAGTCAGCTCTAACCCTGAAATGGTCCTGTTGTATAGTCCCAAGTGATAAGACCTTGTTAAAACTTGGATGTATTAATTCAGGAGTATGATCAGAAACACAGTTTATGCAGCTTCAGTGTACAACATTTAGGTCCTGATTTGGAAGTCCTCTACTGCCATCTTGATGTTGCATTATTCCTTTTCTGTACAAGAAAATTTGTATCCTCTGTTATCAGCTAGCTACTTACAACAGTCTACCCTTAGGAAAACTGTTGATGCCATATTTAGATCTCTGACATAATCATCTGCATGAAGAATGTAGTTGCTTTAGCTTCCCTCTTTCACCAGTGGAAAAAGACAGACACTGTTGGAGGGACTGGTGAGATTTTAGGAGGAATGAATCATCTCAGGACTCATCTCATCTCTTTCTATTGATTCCTGCAGTACACCTGTATTTTTTTCACTTCAGTTACTTCATTTCCATTAATATCTAAAATAAGGTGGGGTGAATCTGAGATATATCGCAAAGGACTTTACTTTCAAAGAATAAACCACTTCATGTTAAGGCCATTGCAGAGAGTAGTACTGATAAGCTATACCTTCTTTACTGATGCCAAAGTTTACAGTAATTTTCTAACAAGCTCTGAATGCATTTGTTTTTACGGAGTTTGACTCTACCTGAAGCCAACTGACTTTAGTATAAGTGTCTAGAAAACTGTCCTGACAGTTACTATCCCAAATTAGAGGAAAGCAGACTGGGTAATACAAGTCTGATGTTTTGATCTGTATTTTTTTTGTTCCTCGATGTGACTATGTTATGGATGCATCTGGGAGGCAGTTTCTGCAAGGCTCAGCCCTGTAGAGGTTATGGCCTGAGCGATAACCAGGAGTGATGTCTATTGACTTCTTTCCTTAGACCCACTCATTATAAATAGAATAGTAATCCTTGGAAGTAATTGATAAAGTGTAGAAAGGAAAGCCAGTACAACTTAGTATAAATGTAACAGTACAGGTTGCCTCAACTTTTGTTCAATTGTCTTTTTGATTTATTCTCTGGTATTGCTGCTGCAGTCAAACAATTACCTTTCACTCCTTAATATCTGTATTTATAGTTGGACATATGCTGTCTGTACTTTCTCAGGCATAGCAGAAGCATAATTTCTGCCATATTTCACAATCCCAACTAAAAAGCAGCTAGTATTTACTACAGTTGTTACAATTATGGAGAAAAAATGAACATAGATATTAGTAGCCAACAAGATAGCCAATGTATACATAATCCAGAAGGATGTTAAAGTGGACACTATCAAAGAAAATGAAAGGTGATCGTGCAGATCTGTTTTGTGTAACAAACAGGCAAAGCTTTTGGAGATTTTTAAACTTGGTGATGATGATAGATGGCATATATGGATTTTTGGGGAAGATGCAGTGAGAGGACAAAACTAAACATGTGAAACCACACTGAGCACTGTGGAAATGCAGATTCAACAATGTGATAGACAAGTAACATGCAGAGACGTACAGGTGCCTCTACAATATGTTGTACCATTTGCTGTGTTTTTTTATTTTGTTATAAGATGTTAGAGGAAATGACATGTTACAATGCATACACAGTGATGGTACAGGTAATGAATATCTGATCCAGATTAGTGGCAGATTCTTAGCAGATCAGAACACCATGAAAAACACATTGCATGCAATTCTTTTGTGTACCTCTGTAAGAATTTTTTTTGTCAAAAATTTTCCCAGGACAATGACAACATGTCTGTGTTTCTTTCTCTTTCTTAATTATTGTAGATATATTGTAAGAGTCTGATGCAAAGTCAGGATCTGTAATCCCCAAAGCCTAGGGTTGTACGGATGTGAGGAATTGGAAACTGCCTTTGGTTTCCCCTGTAAAATAAAGTGCTGTTATAACAAGGTGAAGGTTTGTGCTATGTTAAAACAGATAGGGCTGGGTTCACTTGCTGTGAACTTTCATACTGTGGACCTGACTATGGTATACTTGTCTATAATAAAGGATTTTGTCACAAAGGACACCTACAGCCTTTGTTCTGCTTAATGATTTGAATTTACAAGGGCAGCTAGAAATGTGATTGAGGACAGCCCATGAATTCACTGTACTTGATTAGTGAGATGAAACTGTGTCTCTTCCAGGCAGTTTGAGGGAGCCTGCATATCAACTTCAATTCATATTAAACTTAAGTAATTTTTAATAGATTGTTTACAATAGAAATATCATATAAATATTTTGTGTTTATAACATAAACATATTTAACTTAAAATTTTCATATTCAATTTAAATTTATATTTAAGTTGAGGTGGAGTACACTGTCCTGGAAACTTTAGATTCTCTCTGTCTTTCAGGAAATTTCTTGTACTTGAGAATGAATACCTTCCTGAGGGGGAAAAATTGTATTTCTTTTCTGAACGAAATACCAAATGAAGAGAAGGTACGCATGCTGCCATTCTGCACCATGCTGAAATTTAGACTGAGTAAGGATTGCAAAAGTTTGGGTCCATTGTGTAAGGTCTTCCTGTGCTTTATAAACATCTTAAGTCTTTAAACTTTCTTAGTTCTCCTGGGGCTTCTCTGCTAAAGTGAAGAGAAGGAAAGCAATAACTCTACCATACAGTCTTCACACTGCATTGTCTTAGCACCCATATGTGGTCCATCAGCTATTGTAAGTGCCATTTATAGGTTGTTCATAATTCCAGCAGATGTTCCTTCTGGATAAAAGGAGTTTGAGGAATAGTATTTCTGTTTGTAGACAAAAAATACAGTATTACCATGTCTGAGCTAGAGGAATAGAGGATCACCGCTAATAACAAAACATTCTTTAAGCTATTCAGAGAGAGGCTAGACACCAAAAATTCTAAAAAAATCAAAGGTCCTTATTCAGTCTATGAAGCATTTTTGCACACATCATAGAAAAAATTAAGATATTTCTTACTAGCTGTTATCGCCATGTGCTTTACTAAAATATATTGTCATGACCCCTTTAAATCAAGGAGGCAGTAGATGACTGATGCTAGTTTTGAGATTAAAGAAAATGAATGTTTAATTAGTGGGAAACAGTCACAATTGACAACTTGTACCATTTTGTTGCTCTCCAGTTAACATTTTTCTCAATGTGTATGTAGAGACACATGATTATCACTGTCTGAAAGATATTAAGTGCTGACTTTCTAATGACATTCACTGGAACAGTCTTAAAATTTTGTAGTAGTTATTTAAAATTGTCAAATACTTAGATAAATAATTAAAGTCCTGATATCATCCAATAATAATTTGCATTTATGACAGATTATTGAGGCAATGCAAGCAGTGCTGCTGGCAGAAGTTCAAAGGACTATGAATACCTTGAGAAAGACAGCAATCTGCAGAGAGCCACTGGCCATAGTGGAGAATGGAAATGGTAAGTTGCTGACACTGCCAAAGACTGAAGAGAGGGATTTGCAATACATTAAAAATGTTTCTTTGCCATGTAGGTGGAAAATTTATTGGTATATTCTTTTAGAAGAACTTTCTCTAGTACTCAGAACAAGTTAGGAGTATGAGTTCATAATGCATTATTTCTGTGTGAGACAAGCCAAATGGCCTACCTCTGACCTTATCAGGCTATGAGTTTCGTTATATGACTGTCAAGGAGTTAAAGGACTTTCACATTCTCTCATCATCTCTGAACATTAAAGAAGAAAAGGTAAAGTTTCTTTGATTGTATGATAGTTCTGGTATTGTAAATATATTTGCAAATAAAGGAAGCAGTGTGTTTGAAATAGAATCAGTAAATCATACTGAAAAGAAGTTTTACAAATTTATCTTTTCAATGACATCAGAACTTATACTGCACTAAAAATTAATTGCTTAAATTTTATAACTTCATAATGTAATACAGAATATTTTATTTTTCTTTTAGAAATAACCTCCTTGCAAGGAGATATCAAATGCATTTTACAATTAGATCATTTCATTTTACAAGAAGCTTACTCTTTGCAACTTTACAATGGTGCTAATGTTTATGGTAAAAAAGATTGAACCTGAATTTATGTTACGAAGTTATACTCATTTTTTTTAGCCCATTAGCTGAGTCTTAAAATTAAGTGACCTAAATTTTAGATCCAATCTTATTAGTGAGCCTTCTCTTGGGGAAACTAATTTATAATCTCATTGAGTGTGTGTGTCTGTCATGAAAATTTGTTACTGATCTGCTTGTTCCAGGATACTAAAAATGATCAGTGATCCTTGCTTCAGGCCACAAAACAAAATGGTGTCTCTAATTTGGACTGTTGGAATAGAGTGAAACTCCAAACACTTTGAATAATTGTCATATATGAGTTTATACTTTGCTTACACTGAAGATTGCTTTGAATCATTTTATTTTTATGTGGCTTGGGACAAGATGCACTGTAACTGCAGCTGTAAAGTTCATCTATGAATTTGATTTCAAATTTCCTGAATTCTCAGAGTGTATTTCAATATGGTGTTTTGGCATGGGTTACAACAAAAATGCAACTAACTGAAAGTTGCAAATGCAGATATCTGCAAACTCCAGAAGTGTTTAGGTCTTCGGGTTTGTTTCAAAACCTTCTATACTAGATGAAAAAACATTTTTGTTATATAGAGTGCTGGAATGATTACAAGAGTCTAGTAGTCAATTGTTTAATTCTAATTAAGTATTAAGACTCACACGAGTTAGGAATTCAGGGGAGTTACTTCAGCTTTCTACTCTCTGAAAGGGGAATTTGGTTGTTTGTATGTCTAGTAAAAGATTTTTACTGTCATTTTGTTCTCAACCCTGTTATTTGAAGGTTATTCAACAAACAACTAGAAAATTGCTTTGCTAGAATGAGTGCAGTATTCATATGCACTTATACTGGCTAGGACTTTTTTTTCATACTTCATGATCTGAACTACATAAGTATACCCTGTAAAGCAGAGTGGATTTTTTGAAATATTGTTCAGCAATTTAATGTATTCTGGAATAGACCGAAAACATACAGGAAAGCTGGGAAAGAGATGTTACACTGTGAGTATTTAATATCGTATTAGCTTTCTTTTTGTTCTGTTTTCCATTCATGTTTTAGCTTGTTGCATTATTTATCACAGTATGTAAATAGCACAATGTGGTGGGTTGGCCCTGGCTGGATGCCGGGTGCCCACCTAAGCTGCTCTATCATTCCACCTCCTCAACTGGACAGGGGATAGAAAATATAATGAAAGAGCTTGTGGGCTGAGGTAAGGACAGGGAGAGATCACTCAGCAGCTACCATCGTGGGCCAAACAGACTCAACTTGGGGAAATCAGTTTAATTTATTACCAGTCAAATCAGTGTAGGGTAATGAGAAATAAAAACCAAATCTTAAAACACCTTCCCCCCACGCCTCCCTTCTTCCTGGGCTCAACTTCACTCTCGATTTTCCCTACCTCCTCCCCTGCAAGGGGACAGGGAATGGGGGTTTCGGTCAGTTCATCACATGTTGTCTGCCACTCCTTCCTCCTCAAGGGAGGAATCCTCACTCAAAAATGTGGGGTCCCTCCCACAGGAGACAGTCCTCCATGAACTTCTTCAGCGTGAGTCCTTCCCATGGGCTGCAGTTCTTCATGAACTGCTCCAGCGTGGGTCCTTTCCACAGGGTGCAGTCCTTCAGGAGCAGACTGCCCCAGCGTGTGTCCCCCGTGGGGTCACAAGTCCTGCCAGCAAACCTGCTCCAGCGTGGGCTCCTCTGTCTCCACACGTCCTGCCAGGAGCCTGCTCCAGCACGGGCTTCCCATGAGGTCACAGCCTCCTTTGGGCACATCCCCCTGCTCCAGCGTGGGGCCCTCCCCAGGTACAGGTGGATCTCTGCTCCCCCGTGGGCCTCCATGGGTGCAGGGGCACAGCTGCCTCACCAGGGGCTGCAGGGGAATCTCTGCTCCGGTGCCTGGAGCACCTCCTGCCCCTCCTTCACTGACCTTGGTGTCTGCAGAGTCCTTCCTCTCACATATTCTCACTCCAGCTGCAGTTGTGCAGGGTTTGGGGTTTTTTTTCCCCTTCTTAAATACCTTATCCCAGAGGTGCTGCTGCCATTGCTGATTGGCTCGGCCTTGGCCAGCGGTGGGGCTGTCTTGGAGCCGGCTGGCGTTGGCTCTGTTGGACATAGGGGAAGCTTCTGGCAGCTTCTCACAGAAGCCACACCTGTAGCTGCTCTGCTCCCAAAACCTTGCCACGCAAACCCAATACACACAAATATTCTTGTTTTGGTTTGTATGGTTTTCTAATAGACACTGCAAAACTTGATGGGTTTATTCAGAATTGAACAATGTTCTTTTTGTGATTTCTAATATGCTATAGAGTAAAACTATTTGTGGCATGTAATGATATGCAGAAATTATTAAAAACCCATCCAGGAGTAAGTCCACAACCAGTGTAATTACTGGGTTTAGTCATTCATCTGATAGGTATGTCATCTTATATCTTTCTAAATACTCTGTATTTATGGGTTGTACAGTAGCTGTCATCTTGTACAACATCAAGGTAAAGGTTAAATATTGTTTCAGTTTAAGTCATAATTCAAGACTGGGATCATGCACTCTGACCCACAGTAAAAGTATCTGAATCTTGGCTGCCATCATCATTGTACTGTATTGCATTTTTGTTTAATTGGAATTAATAGATTTGGAGAGGTTTAACTTTGTTTAACTCAACAAATTTCCACTGAAGTCAATAGAAGTTGTCTTTAAAAAAACAAACAGAACTTTCAGGTTTTGACCTTCAGTTTTTATTAACTTCAAAGTTTATAGTATATTATATAGCTTTTTTTTTTTTTTTGAAAGCTCCTTACTCCTTAGGAAGCTCCTGCATCCTTACAAGGTGGTAGCATTTAGACAACAGCTTCAGTTGCTGAATAATTTAAAATGCCATATTTTTCTCTGTGGTTCCATACAGAGTTGTTTGTTAATTGAATTTAAAAAAAAAAAAATTCCAGAAACAAAAATAAGGAATTAAAAAAGCTATTCATGTAAAGCATGCCACAGAAAGGGTTAACTGTGCTCTGTCCTAATACATTCTCCCATTGTTGCTAAAAGGAAATATAAATGCAAACAGCTGCAATTTCTTTATGTTAATGTCAGAGATAATAATTCTGGACCTGTTCCAAACATATTGATAGTAATCTTCCCATTGATTTCTGCAAGCTTTGCTTCAGTTCTTCAAAGAAGCTGAGGTTTTCCCTAATTTTTTTTACATTCATCATAACTCTGAAAAAGTATATTGCACTATATCCCTTCTTGCCTTTTTCCTAAACACTGGATCTCAGGTTAATAGTACCATTTAACAGGTTGTCAGTGTGGTACTGTTTTCTACTGCCATGTGAGTCAGAGGCAGTGATTTTAAAACCTCAAGAATCTATTATTCCACTTCTATTTGCATAAACTAAGAGCAACTAAGTTTGGCATTCTTCATTCATTTTTCATTTGTAGTATTTGATCTTATGACATACGTACCTAGTCCATACCCAGCCACATGCAGAACTTCTTTGATCGGAGTTAAAAATTGGTAAATACCACTGTTCTCATTCAATAGCCTAGTGATTGGATACAAAGAAACTGGATAGTCCCTCCTGTAGTTGAATTGAAGCTATATCTTCCTCAACAGTAATTCATTGCTTATCCTCAAGGCATTCTACAGTGAGTCAGCTACAGGAATTGTTTCCCTTTTCATGGACATCTCAAAATATTTGCAAAGGTAAGAGTTAGAAATGGGATTCCCTAACCACCATGTGTGTGTTGTGTGTAGGACTGTGATCTCCTTTTAGCTACTGCACTAAAGCAGTTTCCTGTGCACCATCCTTGGATTCTTATTTCTTCTAATGCATAGGGAGCCAAAACTATCTTATCTGAAATGGCCTTATAGCATACAAATTTTTCTGGAACTGTGTGCTTTGATTTTTTGTAAAATGTGAAGAACTGGATTTATTTACCTTTTAAGAAAATTGTAAGGGTAAATGTGTTTAGGATGTTCATGCTCAGATATTAAATTGAGGAACTGATGTATGTTATATTCCTGGAATGCCAAAAACTGGAAAAGTGAAAGGAAAGCATAAAGTACAGGCTTTATTCTTAAATACAGAATATTACTTTAACTGTCTCTTAGATTTCTGAAAAATTTAAATGTGAAAAATTGCACTACTAAGACTAGTTTGCAACAAATTCTAGTTTGCACTTAAATTCCTAGTTTAAGAAACTGCTAATGATCCAAGCTTTTAAGGATATTTGAAAAGTATTAGCTATAACCTCATCTTTTGTATGTGGTTTTGGAGCTCTTCAGACTATTCAATTAAATAAGCTGGTTTTTTGCAAGAAAAAAATTTTCTGCTGATAAATACCAGAGTGAAATTAATGGTGGCAATTGAATTTCATAGGTTAGTGTAAAGAATT